TCTTTTTGCTGCTATGTTAGAAGTCTGAATGAATAGCATAGAAATCAATATATATCCATTATTCCAAGAAAGAAGCTTCATTTGGAAAACCCAGAGCTATCTTCCAGGTATCTGGCTGCATTTCCATAAGCATGAAAGAGAATGGGGGGGACGATCAGCTACCAAGCCTCTCGTAACAAACCCACACTTAACTCCTGCTGATGGGATGGAATAAGTGAAGTAGTGCAAGTTGCTCAGTCATGTCCGACTCTTTGTGATCCCAAGGACTATACAGTCCATGGATTTCTCTAGGCTAGAATACTGGAGTGGGTAGCCTTTCCCTTCTCCAGGGGATCTTCCTAACCCAGGAATCAAACCCAGGTCTCCCGACGGGATGGAAGCAAAAGGCTAACAATTTTTTTCACCAATACTGTTAGCAAATTATAATGTATTCATAGCAACAAGGCACAGGATGTGCATAGGCAAAGTCATTTGAAGTGAATATTGTTTTCCATCTAATCCAGAAAACTTGAAGCTGTGACATAAACAACATTACTTTTTAATGGAGAAATGAGAGCTATAGTGAGACCTTTGGGATGAGGAGTGGTTAGAGAAAGAAGACTTTCTTGGTAGATCTACTCGTATGCCTCTAATCAGTTGAGCAAATTTAGTCACATACACTGCAGAACAGAAGCCAGTCTCGTCTATGGCACTATGGATGAGTATGGTTTGCCCTGGATTGAGTGTTTTTAGGGCATTAGAAGGCTCCCATCCATCCTAATCAACTTCGTGTGGACATGATTCAACATCCGGTGTTGGCTCCGATCAGCGCAAGTGTCAGTCACTGAGCGGTTTCTCGCCCACAGCCCTCTGGCCTCATTTCCTCGTGGCGGAATGTACACGGTTCTTTCAGGACAATTCCCTCTCGCCTGTGCTCCAACCCTGACAGGCTTGCCCGGCTGTGGCACTGACCATATGGCGAGGCTCGTCTCCACCCTCTCTCCTAATAATTCTATCTCCCTTCCTGTTCAGCTCAGACTACTCTCATGGAGGGCATTTTATTTATAGACTCTCCCTGAACGACCCTATTTTCTCTCAAATATAGCCTTGATTCCAAGTAGATGAGCGCCCCTTGGCACCCACATACTCACTGGGATGTATCTTGCTGATCATGGTTGATGGAGTTTATTTCCAAGGGGAATTAATTCAAAACTTATATAAATACTATTGTCTTTAATGCCCCAGCTTAAATTCCATTCCATTAATTCCTTATATTGTGACATATATCTGCTCTGTACTTCTAATTGTCTCATGTCTAATTGCTATTGATCTTGAGGCTGACATATGTTAGAATAAATTGGGTCTTTTCTCAATATCTTTTTTTAAATGAATTTTAAATACAAATTTTTAAGCTTTCCTTTTACTTGACATTACCCTAACAGAAACATAAATGTTCATTACATTGCTGGGGGAAATCGAAGACTACGAAATGCTCCAGAAAATCTTGAAATAAAATAATTTTTAATGTTGTTTACTACCCATGCCCCCAAATTTCCCAAACTTATTTTTTTAATAGAAATTCTTTTAATCTGATGCTTAGCCCATTCAGGAGGCTATCATAAAATACCCCACAGCAGGTAGCTTACAAAAAGCAGAAATTTATTTCTCACAGTTCGAGAGGCTGCAAAGTCCAAGATCAGGGTGCCAGCACAGTGGCACTATGGTGAGAGCCTCCTTCCTGGTTCATGGATGGCACCTTCTCCCGGTGTCTCCTCGGGGTGGAAGGCGCCAGCAAGCTCTGCGGGGGTCTCTTCAATAAGAGCACTAACCCCATTCATGAGGGCTCTGCCTTCACCATCTACGTAGCTCCTAAAGGCCCCACCTCCTAATGCCACTGCAGGGGGCATTAAGATTTTGTGTATGAATTTGGAGGGACACAAACATCCAATACTTTGGCCACCTGATGTGAAGAGCTGACTCATTTGAAAAGACCCTGATGTTGGGAACGTTTGAAGGCGGGAGAAGGGGACAACAGAGGATGAGATGGTTGGATGACATCACCGACTCCATGGACATGAGTTTGAGCAAGCTCCAGGAGTTGGTGATGGACAGGGAGGCCTGGCGTGCTGCGGTCCATGTGGTTACAAAGAGTCGGACACGGCTGAGCGACTGAACTGAACTGAATTGAAACATTCAGAGTACAGCACCTATTAAATGCACTGCTCTAGGAGAAAAAGAGAAAGAAACCATTTCCAATCCTCTGCAGTAGAAGAAAAACTTCTTCTCTGCTAGTCTCTGAGCTCACTGCCCCCAGGATGGTCTGATCCAGGTCAGCAGCCTGTTGACCCGATAAAGCTGGGAGGATGTAAGTACCAGCTGGAAAAAACCAAACCCCAGGCATCTCGGCTTCGTTCGGGGGACCTCACATCTGGAGAGCAGAGTGTCCCCGGACTGCCGCACAGGTGACACGTGTGGACATGTCAACGGACCAGCAGCACTATGAGAGGAAAAGACGACCAACCCCCTCTGGGTCTCCCTTGCGCTTCCCGCTTCCTGCACACTCTCCCCAGAATTGCAAGTATTTTATTCGGACTATAACTATTCTTTTAGGTTCAGCTCAACATATGACTGGAGTAATAAGCAAATCAGTGGTTTGAGAACAGCCCCTTGGTCACTGTGTTACTGCCCAGCGGCGTGTTTTCAGGTCTAAATCTCCCCGGGTAGCTCAGTGGTAAAGAATCCGCCTGCCCACGCAGGAAACACAGGTTCGATCCCTGGGTCAGGAAGATCCCCTGGAGGAGGAAATGGCAACCCACTCCAGTATTCTTGCCTGGAGAACCCCATGGACAGAGGAGCCTGGCAGGATAGAGCCCACGGGGTCGCAAAAGAGCCGGACGCGACTGAAACGGGAAAAAACAAAGCGTGCCCAGCTCTGTCATCCCGGAGGCTCCACGTATGCAGTTCCCTCGGCCTAGAACACTCTTCTCTTTGTGCTTTGCTTGGCATTTCTTCCAGTTTAGATGTCAGGGCCACTAAGAGGCTTTCCTTGGCCATCTCATGCTTTCTGGTGATTCCCTGCATCCTGCTCTTTTCCTTCGCAGCACTATTCCAGCTTATAATTCTATGTTGATTTGTCTTCTTGTCCATTGCCTGTCTCTCGCTTTCAACTCTAAGCTCCACGGGGCAAGGGCCACACGCTCTGTTATCCATCAATCTGTCCCCAGCCTTGCATAGTACTGCATGCAAAGGTGAGGTACTTTTAAAAAATAACAGTTGAACAAATAAATGAAAAATCCAACTCTAGGAGTGCCATTTGTTGATTGCTTTGGCCTCGGAGAGCCTGTACACTCCCCAGTTCATCAGAGGAGCCCCTCTTCTGCCGACCCCAGCTAGAACCTATTTTCTAGGCTACCTCCCAGCAGGGAGTAAAATTAATTTGGGGTGAAATAAATTAATTAATCTTTGCAGCCAGCTTATCACTTTGGTGTTTATCACATAATGAATACTGGCTAAACTCACAGGCTGAGAGTTCTCAATGATCTACTTTTTTAAAAAATTCAGAAATGCCCCACGTCATTCCATGCCACTTCCTTTGTGTACAAGTCGCTTAATTCTATTCCATGTAGCACACAGCTGTGTAAAAGCAAGAAGGAGCAGTTAAAAATATATGGACTCCTTCTCTGGACAAGGTATTAGGCTTGGTGACTTGTCTATGTTATCGCATTTAATTCTCACAACAACCTCATAGGCGGGTAGTATCCCATCTTACGGATGGAAAAACTGAGGCTCATCAAAAGAAAGTGGCCATAAACAGAATGAACCTGAGTTCTTTCTGCTACAGCACAGTTTGAGAAAGAGAATGGACAGGGGCACATCAAAGACTTTATGGGAGAAACGACGAAAACAAAGCCTTCATTTGGGCTCAGTTCCCTTGGACATTATTCTGGGAGAGTAAGAAAGCAAGGTCTTTTTGATCAGATATGACTCAGACTTAATCAATCACATTTATGTGATCCTAAGAAACTTTTTTCATAGTTTCACACATGAAATTAAGATGAGCTTTGCAAGCAGTCCTGTGTGTTAGTGTCTTTTTTTCTCCCCCAAATTTAGGATGCTACAGTCGAGGGTGACTTGGAATCAGAATGTGGTTTAATGTTTCCTCTTATGGTGCTGGGTAAAAGAGACCTACAAATGTTTTCCATCTGCTCCTAAATAATATTTAAAATAAAACTGACATCAACAAAGCATTTACTTACATACCCAGATATTACACTCAGTGATTTTTTTAATCATCTTATTTATCATCAAAATAATACTACAGAGTAGGTACGGACATTAGTCCTTATTTTGGGAACAATGAAGCTGACTGCTGCTGCGCTTGGCCGCTCAGTCGTGTCCGATTTTTGCAACTTCGTAGGCTGTAGCCCGTCAGACTCCTCAGTCTATTGGAATTCTCCAGGGGAGCACGCTGGAGTGGGTTGCCATGCCCTCCTCCAGGGGATCTTTCCAACACAAGGATCAAACCCAGATCTCCCATATTGCAGGCGGATTCTTTACTGTCTGCGCCACCAGGGAAGCCCAAGAATACTGAAGTGGGTAGCCTATCCCTTCTCCAGGGAATCTTCCCAGACCAGGAAAGATATATAAAGTGTCTTTTATATATCTTATATATTTTAACATATAAGATAGACAATAAGATATATAAGACAAACCTTAATATATATGAAGATAGAAAATATTTTATATATTCCTGGTTTGACCCAGGAATCAAATCAGACTCTCCGGCACTGCAAGCGGATTCTTTGCCGGCTGAAACTGACACTCGGGGAGGTTAATTAACAAGCCCCACGTCACACAACAAAGCTAGGATCCAAACGCAGGTCCCACCCAAGCCCTGAGAGAGTGCTCTTAGTCCAAATAGCACACTACGCCCTGGCCTAGTAACGCAGAGTTTGAGGCCTCCCACATCCACAGCAGAACACAGGACGCCCGTGGCGGTGTTTGTAACAAGGCGTCCTTAGGTGGGCAGCTCTGCGGTCTCTCATCCTCGACGCCAAAGCTGCTGCCGGCACCAGCAGTGCCGCAAACGGCATGGCAGAGGCCGCAGAGGTCACTGCGCAAAGCGCCATCAGCACCAGGGAGTGCCGCGTTAGAGCCCCGCCCGGACCCGGTCTTCCCCGGGTTCTGGCTAAAAGCTGCGGGACACTCAGCCCACGCTGCGCCGAAGTCCGCAGCGCTCACACGCAATCTGATTTACCAGGGGAGGCTGTGTGCTGTTAGTTTTCACTCCACCATGGGATCTTCTAATAGGTACTCATTTGCCCCTCATTTCACTCTTCACAAATTCCACACCCGAGGAGACGGCCTGAAGTGCCTTGGAGCTGCTATTGATTTCTCCTCCCCGGGAAGACAAGAAGGCAGGGGAGGGCAGGCAGTGATTAAGGAAGCGGACTCTGGAATTAGGCTGCTGGCTTGGAAGCCCCGGCTCTGCTACTTGGCAGCTGGTGATGTGGATGACCGCTAATTCCCTCAGTTCCTCAGTTTCCGCCCTGTAAAATGTTGGCTAAAATGGGGTCCTCCCTAACATCAATATCCCCAGTTATCACAATATTATCACAGGGCTATTATGAAGAATTAATGAGATGATGGATGTGATGTGCTTAGATGCCAAGTATGAATCAGTACTAGGTATTACAGATAGATATCATTCAAGTGAACCAGGTAGCCATTCTACTCCATGTATTGTGGTTTTGTATTCTCCACTCACACATGCAGTTGCCCTTATAAAGTCCTAAATTAAAAGAACCCCTTTAGATGTTCAGGAGAGACAGCTGAACCATATTACAGCCCAAAAGACATTTAGAATCACTTTTGTGGAGCCCCAATTGGGTTGACCAAGTAAGTAACCCACCTTGTAGAAAAGGTCTCCTTCCCAGCTGATGGGCTAGGTCAACTCTAAACTGCTGAATGATGTGTATATGCTGAATGAATGTGTATTTGGTATTTACCTAAAGCAGGGATCACAAATTAAATAGCAAGCTTGCAGTAATGCAAAGGGGTCAAGTACAAGAACAACAGAAACCAACATAGAACAGGAAAAAGCAATAGAGTGTAAGACAAACAAGAAAGTGACTGTCAAGATGAGTGGCAAATGAACTAATTCTGAGAGCCAAGAGACAGTGTAAAGTGTCTTACCCAGGAGTGGGTAGAACCTGGGAGTCCAGCCTCTGTCTAAGGAGCTGGTGTTCACACAGCCCTGATGAGTTATTGTCTATGGAAATGCAGGTCTCCTGTCACCAGAATTCCCCATTTTTCAACAAAAGCAAAAAATCTAGACTTTCACATGAAACCTCCTGATTTATCAATATCAGCAATGAAATTCAAATTATTTTTAAAACTCTCTTCAGGCCACACAAACTAGGTAATATCTGCATGCTTCTGGTTTTCACACATGACAGGAGTCCCAGGTAACTTCCGATCTACGGTGAGAAGTATTAAATCACATGCATGCATATCAATCACCAAGGGCACCCTATGTGGCCAGTCAGAATGTGAAACATTTCACATGTGTTGTGTCATTTAATTCTCACAACAACCCTGTGAGTTAGGGACTACTAGTTCTCAAGTTAAAGAAAAAAGAAAAATGAGGTTTGGAGAAATTTCCATTTTAATCATGGAAAGCCAAAGCTTGGCAAAAGTCAAGTGATTTGCCTGAGATTATGCAGCTAATGAAATAAAAAGATGCTTACTCCTTGGAAGAAAAGCTATGACCAACCTAGACAGTATATTAAAAAGCAGAGACATTACTTTGCCAACAAAGGTCCGTCTAGTCAAGTCTATGGTTTTCCCAGTAGTCATGTATGGATGTGAGAGTTGGACTGTGAAGAAAGCTGAGCACAGAAAAATTGATGCTTTTGAACTATGGTGTTGCAGAACTCTTGAGAGTCCCTTGGACTGCAAGGAGATCCAACCAGTTCATCCTAAAGGAGATCAGTCCTGAGTGTTCATTGGAAGGACTGATGTTGAAGCTGAAACTCTTAATACTTTGGCCACCTGATGTGAAGAACTGACTCATTTGAAAAGATCCTGATACTGGGAAAGACTGAAGGCAGGAGGAGAAGGGAGAGACAGATGATGAGATAGTTGGATGACATCACTGACTCAATGGACATGGGTTTGAGTAAACTCTGGGAGTTGGTGATGGACAGGGAGGCCTGGCGTGCTGCAGTCCGTGGGGTGGCAAAGAGTTGGACACGACTAAGTGACTGGACTGAACTGAACTGAACTGATGCAGCTAATAAGTAGGAGGGCTGGTATCTGAGCCTAGGCAAACTGACTCCAGTGGCCACGCATTTCCATTCGGTGAACACGTTGAGTGAAGGAAATGGAAAGTGTCCTTTCAGTTTGGAGGAGGTACAGAAGAAGCAGTTTGAATGATCAAACCATGTGGTATGCTGGAAGTGAAATGACCCGGTGCTCAGATGGAGGGTTTCTGCTGCTGCTAAGTCCCTTCAGTCGTGTCTGACTCTGTGCGACCCCATAGACGGCAGCCCACCAGGCTCCTCTGTCCACACGATTCTCTGGGCGAGAACACTGGAGTGGGCTGCCATGCCCTCCTCCAGGTCTCCTGCTTGATACCCGGGAGCCAAAGTCTTGGATGTCCCTGGGGGTAGGCAATTTGGAAGGTGTCTCAGGAGACACTGCGTCTACCTCGCTCCCCAAGCGCACCATCCATTTCCTTTTGCCCAACAGACCAGCCTCCTCAGTCAGGGTCTGGGCTCGGCACTATTTCACCCACACCCAGGCTGAAAACCAATCCTGGACATGGGGAATGTGATGTCCCCTCGAAAACTTGCAAACGCTTTAAACACGGGCATGCTTCTTCCATGAGGGGATTCCCTAGTTGAAGGGCAAATAAGGAATAATTAACAACAATTATTTCTAAAAGCCTCCCCTTTCACAGGAAGGAAAGCTATGCCAGACCCTGCTAACAGAGGAAGTGGTTCCAGATCCTGTTCTTCTGGTTAAAAAAAAAAAGAAAAAGAAAACTAAGTATAAATTGTGCTTCAAAACCCTTGATTTACCTCTTTTAACTTAACACTTGAGTTAAGCAGGAGGCTGCAGGAGACCATGTTATTACTAAATTAGGCTTTTCTTTTCCTTTGATGTCCCTGATGCGGTTTGCTTGCACATATTGGGGTATTTAGTAAATGAACCCTGGGCCCCGGTTATTTATTTATTTACCAATTTCCCTGGCATTATCAAAAGCGAGAAGCAGCTGTGATTTCCCCCAGTTCAAGCATGCAGCTGAATGTTTAAGAGGCCTGCCTTGCCCAGGTTCCTGCACGGCTGAAGAATTATAGTCACTAATGCATGAAAACGTGAGACAAGATGTCGAGCAAAGCCTGGGCTTCCAGCTGTGGGAAGGGGATGTTCTCTGAAACCTCTGGGCTCGTCATAGATGACTTACAGATAAGCCAAATGGAAAAGCCTGCGGATTCTGGCCTTTTGGAGACTTGGAACCCATTAAGCGTCTCCTCGGTAAGTCAGAAAGAAGAACAAAAAGGGATTCCCACCGCCCCCCACTCCCCCACCACAGGTTCCATGCCTTCTGATTCAGATGATGTGACCTGAAATGAGTTTGTCTGAACTGGCCCAAGGCTGGTATCCAGGAGCGGGACGCTAGGATAGGCACGCTGGATGTTAAAACACGGACATACTCATCCCGGGAGAGATGTCAGCCCGTCTCTGAGCCCCACAAGTACCTGTAAGTTGCCACGCCCCTTCTCCCAGAACCACATGGAACCCACCCCCACAAGTTAACAGCCAGAGGGCACCACAGTCCTGGTGCCAGGGCAGGCCTCCAGCACCTGCCCAGTGACAAGGCTACGTTCTGCTCGCTGGGTGTCTGTGCCATCCAGACTTGTTTAACATCTTCATCGTTACTTTGTTGGCCTCATTTTGTACTCCTTACAGAACTCTAAGGCAAATATACCTTTTCCCAGAGTCCTCTCTATAGCAAAGAGAATTCTAGAAATATTCCTGTGTGTTTAAGTTATCTATGCTGTATTAGTTATCTATGCAAGGAGATCCAACCAGTCCATCCTAAAGGAGATCAGTCCTGGGTGTTCATTGGAACTACTGATGCTGAAGCTGAAACTCCAATACTTTGGCCACCTGATGCAAAGAACTGACTCATTTGAAAAGATTCTGATGCTGGGAAAGATTGAGGGCAGGAGGAGAAGGGGACGACAGAGGATGAGATGGTTGGATGGCATCACTGACTCAATGGATATGGGTTTGGGTGGACTCCAGGAATTGGTGATGGACAGGGAGGCCTGGTGTGCTGCAGTTCATGGGGTCGCAAAGAGTTGGACACAACTGAGCGACTGAACTGAACTATCTACGATTATGTAACAAAATGCCCCACAAAAAAAAATGTTTTAAAACAACACATCCTTTCATGGTTTCCTTGAATTAGGAATCTGGGGGAGGCTCTATCTCAGGGTCTTTCACTCACATGCTTTGATCCAGGTGCCATCGGGGTTGCAGGCATCTCAAGGCTCAACTGGACGAGAATCTACCTCCAAGCTCACGTGATGGGGAAGAATCAGTCTCTCACAGGACTTTGGAAGGAGGCCACTCCTCATCCCTTGCCACATGGGTCTCTCCATGGGCAGCTCACACCACAGCAGCTAGCTTCATCAGAGAGAAGGGGACAGGGGCAAGGAAGGAAGAGTAGAGGAGAAAAGGATCATTTAACCCAAACTCCACCCACTAGGAAACAAATTAATTGCTATCCATCATACAGACACCAAATGGTGTCTCCTACAGATTACATCCAACTCATGAATGAATCAGATCCCATATACAGTTGTAAAAAACGCTTTTTAACCTATCCTTAAAACAGTCGCTTTTTCATCAGGCCAGGGGCAAGAGAGTATTAGGACATTTTTACTTAAAGCAGACAAGGAGCCGCCATCAGAGCTGGTAATGGAGAAACAGAGGGCCACTTTTAGGAACACATTTGTTTCTGCTGCGAAGAGCTTTCCATGGAACTTCTTCTCCCCTGTTATTCCACCCTTACCCCCCTTCTCCCTCACCAACAGAACCTAAGCACACATTATCCCCACTTCATGCACTGCCCCCTGCCATCCTAGGGAGCGAGAAATTGGAAATGAAACACACGATATGCAGATTGGTTTTAATCACCTGGAACAGATGGTGCAGAAAGTGGCAGGTAAGCGCAGTTTCGAATTTCCTTTGGATGTTTCTTAAAATGCAGAAACAACAAAGAAACTAAATGGACTGTCAAATGTCAGTGTCAGCTCTGGCTTTGAACAGCCAGGCTTCACCATGTCTATACATAACCCTACTACTATCTAAATCTATTTCCTCACTTCTCCATTAATTAACTAACATTTGATGAGCTAAATGCAAGAAGATACACATGGAAACAAAGCAGGCAGGCTTTGCTCCTTGGCTGTGGGAGAATGGAAGGGAGCCCAGTGAATGCGTGTGAGCCCAGCTCACCTGAGTTCTGCACTGGAACAGGTAATTGCAATAAATCATCCCTTGCCCTATGATCCCAGCCTAGTGAAGATTAATGGCAGTAGACACTAAAGCTGCCAACTTGGAAGATTTCCGTGGTGGTGGAGAGGAGGCTATGCGTGAGGAATGTGTGATAAAATGCTACGCTGGGACCATAATAAATGGACTGGAAGGGAGCCGAGGTCCTCCTCTGTAATGCAGAGACATTAAGACCTGTCTGATTGTGATGACAGACAGGTATTTGACTGAGCGCGCTGGCAGCCATAAAAAAAAAAAAGAAATAGCTAAAAGCTAATGTCAAGATGTGATGTAGTCCTGCCACCTGCCATCAGGAGTCATTATGGCTCTGACCACTTGCTCGCAGGGAGGGCAGAGGAAACAATATTGTATCTGACTGTGAAGAATCGGCTACATTTGATTTGTGGCCCCGATGGCATGACTGGCCCCACTCACCCTAGTAATGAAGCCACTGGCAACTCCTCACGGGAGGGGACCTGAGAGCTGACTTGCTTTCACTCCTTCCAGATAGGAGGAAGCCAGTGATGGGAGGAAAGGATGGTCTGAAGACATTGACTGAATGCTGTTTACACAAAGGAAAGACCATCTGGACACAACTGGAGGTGTGGCCCTCAGCGCAGGAGCTCCTTCAGAAGTGAGTCTCAAGAAAGACAAGGGGCCCGCGAAGCTCAAGCCAGACGCTCTTCAGCAGGTTGTGTGCTTGTGGACTTGAAAGTAAACCTCCTGTGGGGACGGCAGCGTGCTCTGGGGCGTGAAAAGAAGGACTGTCCCCACACAAGCTTTGAGCCTTTCAATGCTGAGGAGGAGCTAAGAGAAGGGGGTGAGTGCCGTGCTGAGGGGGCCTCTCTTAGTTTGTTCAGTTCAGTTCAGTCGCTCAGTCGTGTCCAACTCTTTGTGACCCCATGAACCACAGCACACCAGGCCTCCCTGTCCATCACCAACTCCCGGAGTCCACCCAAACTCATGTCCATCAAGTCAGTGATGCCATCCAGCCATCTCATCCTCTGTCGTCCCCTTCTCCTCCCACCTTCAATCTTTCCCAGCATCAGGGTCTTTTCAAATGAGTCAGTTCTTTGCATCAGGTGGCCAAAGTATTGGAGTTTCAGCTTCAGCCTCAGTCCTTCCAATGAATATTCAGGACTGATTTCCTTCAGGCTGGACTGGCTGGATCTCCTTGCAGTCCAAGGGACTCTTAAGAGTCTTCTCCAACACCACAGTTCAAAAGCATCAATTCTTTGGCGCTCAGCTTTCTTTATAGTCCAACTCTCACATCCATACATGACTACTGGAAAAACCATAGCTTTGACTAGACAGACCTTTGTTAACAAAGTAATCTCTCTGCTTTTTAATATGCTGTCTAGGTTGTCTTAGTTTGTTACATCTGCCAAAACGAAGTACCACAAACCATTGGCTCCAGCAACAGAAATTTATTGTCTCAATTCTGGAGGCTGGAGGTCTGAAGTCACGGTGTCAGCAGGCTGTCTCTTTTGAGGGCTCTGAGGGGAAGATCTGCTCCAGGCCTGTCCCCTCAGCTCGCAGATGGCGATCTCAATGTGTGCATGGTGTCCTGCTTATATTTGAATCTACCTCATTTCCCCTTTTTAGAAGGACACCAGTCTTACTGAATTACAGCCCACCCTAACGACTTCTTCCTTTTTTTATGACCTCTTCTTAATAAACATGGTCACATAAAATCAGGTCAAGTTTTCTTTAAGACCATACTGCTAGGTGGTAGTATTATTCTCAATCTGAAGACACAGTTGAAGCTCGGCGGGGTTATGGATCTTGACCAGGGGTGGTCCTAGACATGTAATCTGTACAGTCACACAGGGCCACACACTTAAAGGGACGCATGTTTGGTTTAATGATCTGATGCTACTACCTTAAAATTCTTGTTCTGAAAAAAATAGCTGATTCTCCACTGGACCCCACAAACTATATTGCCGGTCTTGACCAGTGTCCCACAGGTCTCAGGGGAGTGAAATCAGGATTCAGAACCAAGTGAGCTTGATGTCAGCACACTCCACAATTCTGCTTTTATTTCACTGGGTTATATCTTCTTACCATCATCCTTTCCCAAAAATGTCTTAACAATGACAGTGTGACTGTATATATGAAATAATATGAGTATCAAGTTATAAGTATAATGACAAATCACATTTTTCACAAGTGACCATAACAACATCACCCGTTCCACATGTTCTTCTGCAGTGTGATCTTGACACTTCCCCACCACAGAGGGAAATCTAATGTCCCTCCCCTTAAACTTATGCTGGCCTGCCTGATTTGCCTTTGACCAACGCCACGCAGCCAAAGTGGTACCCTGGGACTTGGGAAATAAGATCACAAGGAGACTGGCAGCTACTGGAATGCTAGCTCAAGGGATCCTTCTTTGGGGAACCCAGTTTCCAAGCTGTGAGAAGCCCAAGCCACATGGCAATGCCCTTAGAACATGTGCAGATGCTTCAGTCCACAATCCAAGCTAAATTCCTAGCCAACAGCCACTATCATGCCAGCCGTGTAGTGAGTCAGCCCGATCAAGCCTTCAGACAGGAGAAATTGAAGCATCTAACTGAGCCCCATTAACCCACAGAACTATGAGAAAAAATTAATAAATTATCTTGAACCACTACATTTAGAGGTGATTGGCACATCATACTAGATAACAAGAACAAGTATGAAGACACTCAAACAAATGATTGATTCCTGATTTGTTGTTCTTATTTTTTCCACTGGACTTTGTTCTACTGACTCAGAGTAGTCTGTCTGTATATCATAGGTCACTTGATTGAACAATAGGAGGAGTTATTTTAACTCCTTCAGGTCATTTAAGTTTCTATTTAGATGTTATTAAGTTAATACTAGATAAATATGTTCACTGCTAACCTGCCACTGGAAAGAGCTAAGACCCTTCTAAAGGCTCCTAACATCATCTTCAAGTGACACCGGCTGAGAAGGCATGTCCTACCAGTAAACCCAAGTTCTAGTTCACAAAATTAACTTTCCAGCATCATTCATCTAAGAGTTGACCCCCACAATTTAATTTTCTAGACTCACTCTAAGAATTAAGATGGCTCTTCAAACACTATTTGGTCTACAGAGAAGCAATGCTGTATTTGTCCACGCAATTATTTACATACATCTGCCCATCCTAAGAAGCTGTTTCCAGAGAGAAGCTAACAGCAGAAATCTGACCAATCAATGATATCATGCAATCAATTATTAGGCATACATATGATTTTTCTTCTGCTGTTTTGGAATCATTGCTTAGCCAACAAGCAATAAATCTGCAATAGCCAGTTCCCATCTATTCTCCTAATTCCATAACTTACCGTCTGTCCCACACACCACAGGCATACTCATACACACACAAGTAGTGTGTGAGTGGTACCTGAGATGGAGTCAGAATCTAAGACGCATGTACTGAATAAATTAGAAAAACATAAGAAGTCACTGGTGTTTCAAAAAAGAAAAGCTCTTAGAAAATAATCTGATATTCTACCAAAAACGTTTACATAATGTGCCATAAAACACCACACACACACAATCTGTAAATTCCGGTAAGTTTTATCAACTCTCCTATATCCTATGTCTGCCTATCCTGTTTCTCTCAATTATCAAAAGTTATAAACTTGCCTTTTAGTAGAGTATGCTATGTTTTGGTAGAATGCATTGAGAGGTTAAGTTATGTTCAGTGTTAGGAAAATCACTAGAACTTATCATTCCAGTATGACTTCCTTCTCAAAGTAGCCATCTATGCAAAATGTTCCACTTAGAGGCTGTCCAGCCTCTACCAACCTAAATTATTTTTATATCACACACTCTCCTTGCTGCTGTCTCTCTCTCTCTGTCTCTGTGTCTGTCTGTCTCTCTCTCTTTCACACACACACACACACACTTCACAAAAAAAGCTTTCAGTGCATTTTCTGTACATTTCCAGTCTCTTACTGTCAATGGGAATTTGCGTCTGGAGTTAGGGCCATTCACCGTGAATTCATAAACAGCTTACAAGTTCTCCAAGTCAGCAACTACCAGATCTGTTGCAGAAATCCTACCAGACATGATTTCTGGAGAACAGCCAAGAGAGCTGAGAATCTGTTGTGAGTTAGCCAGACTGTTTCCGCTGGGCACATCTGACTCTGCTAACATTTAAGATCATGTATCTCCCTAACCCAGAGCCTGAGACTTGCCAGCAGGGATAAGGAGGGCAGCACAAGTCCTAAGCCTGGGCCCGAGGGTTATGGTTTCTAAACAGAATCAAATCATGGCCTTGGACTTTCCTTCTTCCTAAGGGATAAAGATGACTCAGGCTGAAGCAGCTGGGAAATGTGGAAATCATTAGCAGGCTAAGCTGTACATAACAATCAAAGTATTAAGAACCCTCAGTAAATAAAATGACCAGCATTTCTGATCTCCCAAGGTCTCCAAACAGGGAAACAAGGCCAAGAGGACTTGTAGTCATCCCTGGATCCAGGCCTCCTTCCCCTAGCCAAGTGATTTCTCCACCACTAAAAGCTGGCTCCTCCCTTCCTGCTGCTTTCCAAAGCACCACTTCCTGGGTCTTGCATTCCCTGCTGTCTTGGATTCCACACACAGTTTACTTTCAGGGAATGAGAATGACCTTACAGTCTGGGCCTTCCATGGGATCACTGTGTTAAAGGGGGGAGCAGGGCATGGGGAGAGGAGGGCCACTGCTTTCCTACTGTCTTCTGTTCTCCTCTGCCCATGTTGCTTCACAATGCCACTTCTACACTAGTAGGGGTGCATATATTCATGCCCGCCTTCCAACTCATTGATTGACATTGAAATGATTTATTAGTCCGCTGATCCATAGGGATGGTCTACTCATCTCCATGGGGGCGGTACCACCCCTCCCCAAAGGGTGATCTTCAGAAATGTATAGGGACATTGATTGCCACAATGACTGGAGCATTTTATGGGTGAGACCAGAGATGCCAGGGGCTTCCCTGATAGCTCAGCTGGTAAAGAATCCGCCTGTAATGCAGGAGACCCCGGTTCAATTCCTGGGTCAGGAAGATCCACTGGAGAAGGGATAGGCTACCCACTCCAGTATTCCTGGGCTTCCCTGGTGGCTCAGTTGGTAAAGAATCTGCCTGCAATGTGGGAGACCCCAGTTCAATCCCTGGGTTGGGACAATCCCCTGGAAAAGGGAAAGGCTACCCACATCAGTATTCTAGCCTGGAGAATTCTATGGACTGTAAAGTCCATGGGGTCACAAAGAGTCAGACATGACTGAGCGACTTGAACTTTCAGTTTCACTTTTCAGAGATGCCAGACATCCTGCAAAGCCCAGGAGAGTTCCCTGAAGCAAATCTTCCCACCCAAAATGTCAGTTCCCTCCACTGAGAAACACTGATAGAGCTGACTGGCTAAGGCAGAATCATCCGTGCTCTCCACTACACCTCCCTCAGACCAGGGAGGCAGGATGGAGTGGAGAGAGCAGTGGAATCCAGGTCAAGGGCAAAGGTTCCCCACACAGGTCCCCTGGTGACAACTGGACTTGGACAAAATCCAAAACATTCCCAAGCCTGCTTTTTTTATCATAAAATCAGGACAAAAAAGAGTGAAGTGAAAGTCACTCAGTCGTGTCCGACTCTTTGCGACCCCATGGAC